TGCTGGGCAATCAGCACCGAGGGCAGGGCACCAGGGCCTCCGCTCCTTCCTGGACAGAGAGGAAAGAAAAGATAAAAAAAAAAAAAAATCAAGAATTTTATCAAAGCAAAATTGACACAAACAGACTTTCAAAACTCACTGTTTACGCAGGGAAACAAAAAACAGGTTACGGATCTGCCAGTGTAAAGTAGTCATCTGCTTGCTGCACTGCGCTTGCTTGATGCTCCCCAAGCACCTACTATGTGCCTGCCTATCTGTCTACTTCCCTATGCCCATGAGCAACACAGGTCAGGTCCCCATGGCCACAGAATCTGGATCTGGATTCCACAGCAACCTTGAACTAGAGCACTCACCCACCCAAACACTGGAACCCCACCTGCCAGGTTCTCCCTCACTAGCCAGCCGCAGGACATTCTCTTCAGATCTTCAAGTGTGCCCTCCTTTCTCCTGTGTCCCGGCCCTGCCCGTGATGCGTGTTACCGCCGAAAATGGGCTACCTATATGCCTCTGACTGGTAACCACTCAGATTTCAGATCCAACAGTGCTTCTCAAGTAAGTTTACCATGACACTGCCAACTACATGCCAACTACTACTGGACTTTGCCTCAAATCAATGATCACAAACGTATTTATTTACTTACATGACTCTGAGCCACTAAAATAATCTAAGTAAACATACAGGGCACACCTGCCTGGCTCGACCCACTGTCCCTCGTGCCTAGCAGGAACCCAGCACACAGTAGGTGCTTAGTCCACACATGGTGAGAACATGAGTTCCCAGGAAACAGCCCAGCCAGGGCACTCCCCAGCGCATACCCAGCCTTCAAAGAAACTTCAGAAGCAGTATTTATTTTTGACTTTCTGCTTCTCTATAATTTTTTTTAAATGAAGGTGTGCCCCTGGATGCCTCCTCCGCTGGCACACACAGCATCAGAGCCCTGCCCCTTCCTTCTAAAACCATTACAGAGCTCTCACCAGCATATGCATGGTCCTAGGTGAGGGGGCAGGGTTTAGTCACACCCACATCACCTCATCACTAGCTCAGCTACTCAGCTGGTGCCCACTTGAAGCATGCTGCAGCCCACTTCGCGCTCCTTCTGGGCCTCACCCCACACTTGTGGCAGCGTTCATCCCACCGTCCTGCCACCGTGGCTCATCCCCGAGCAGGAAACTGTAGGGGGGCTGGGAACATCCTCACTGACCCAGGCCCAATGCTCACTACCATCCACAGAGTAACCTCCACACCCGGGAATCATTCTCACTTTAATTGGTTTACGGTTTACTCAATGTGTATGTATGTATGTGCATCAACTATATGTAAGTATGGTGCTCAAATGACTCCCGGAACTGGAGTTAATAGATGGTTGTGAGCCACCATGTGGGCGCTAGGAATCAAACCCAGGACAACCAAACCCAATGAATGCTCTTAACTGCCCAGCTACCTTTCTAACCCTTTGTCCTTAGACTAGTCACCTTTGGAAAAAGCCACTGATTCACCCAAGGCCTCATCAGACCCACCCACCCCCGGCCAGATCAGAACCGAAGGCCCTGGGCCTCAGGATGCCAGCCAGTATGGGCTCCTACCCACTGCATTTCTCCACAACATTCCCAGTGGCCGCTGCTTCTGCAGCAGGCTGCCAAGCGGGTCTGGCCAGAGAAACCGGCTTCCGTGTTGCAAACTCAAAGGCCCGTTTGTCTAGAGTTGCCCGCCCGGTCTCACGATGCTTGACATGGGGCTGTTAGCTCCACCACCGTTGCTCAGGAACCCAGGCAGAGGGGTAGTGTTCAAAGCAATGGTGTCACACCCAAGACCATGCCAGCAGCACTGGGGTTCCTGCAGATGACTGGGACACCCTAGCTAAAGTAGAAGTCATATCTGAAGAAAGGCCCAACATGGCCATGAAGTAGGTCTCAGAAACACAGGATTCCGAGGCTGCCAAGAACCCCCCCACCCCCTGCCACACACACAAGAACACAGAACAGTCCAAGGTAATATTCTAGAACAGTACTCTGGATCAAAGAGCCCCAACACAGACTGTCAAGTCACCTTCAGATCCAGCAGCAGCAGCCCCCAGAACCACTCCAGACCCACAGGGGACAAAACAACAGTCAGGCTGGCCAGCTACCCGGAAAATAAACTGGCATTGATGTCTGGAAGGTAGACTTGGCAGTTGCTCAGTCAGGGCCTAACTGGATCGGATTTCAGGGAGAATTCACACTGGGTACAACCCCCACAGAGGTCTCAGACCAGGCTTAGGTAACAGCCATGACCAAGATCACGTAGAAGGCTCTTGCACCAACCTGGCTGGCTGGCCCCAGTAGGGCTCTGCGTCACCTGCCAAGCTGAAGCCCAGCCCACCAGTGGGACCAGGAAGAGCAAGCAGAAACCCGGGGCACAGGCAGAGATTGAAGCAACCTCCAGGCAGCCCTGGGGCTGCACCACAAAAAGTCTCCAGAAGCGGCAGATTATACACAGCCAAGGAAAGAACGTTGGAGTTCTCAGACCCAGAGGCCCAGGGCACCGAGACTTGGTGCATCTGGACCTTGGAGGCAAAAGCAGAACAAAGAATCCTGGGAGGAAGTGGGGTATTAAACCGCAGAGGCAGCCCCTTCTCAGAATCCCCTTCTGTTCACCTCAAGAGCTCTCTTCTCCAGGGCCCTACCTCAGCCTTCTTACACCTGCCCGTACCCTGAAGGTCAAATACACAGGGGCAACACACAGCTCCATCAGTGAAGATGAGGCTGGGGGACAAGGTAGCTGGCCTCGCCTGGTTGAGCATCCCATCGATAAGGGCCCTCAGCTCAGAGCAGCAGCTACGGCAGGCAGGTGCCTCTGCCTGGACACTGTGTGTTCCCAAAGGCAGCTCTGTGACTCGGGGATTCTGACAGAGGAGCGCATTTTCACCACTTTTATTGATGACGTGAAAACAACAGCTACCACTGAGAGACGATACAAGATGTGAGGCCCTGTCCTGAGCACTTCATGTTTGGCTTTGATCCCCCCAAAACCCTATGAAGCGTGCGTTTTTTATCACACTTGTTTGAGAAATGGGGTTCAGAGATGGTTAGCAAATTGTTCAAGGTCAACTCAAACTCCAGTTCATCCTCAAAGTCAGCTCTTGGCTACTGTGGATAGCTGTCTTCCCTGAGAGAGCATGGCTGCTAGCTCCCACGTAATTCCTGGTATCCTCTGGCTTAAGACTCTTCATACTAAAGCCGGGCGGTGGTGGCGCACACCTTTAATCCCAGCACTCGGGAAGCAGGGGGGCTGCTTCGTGAGTTCGATGCCAGCCTGGTCTACAAGAGCTAGCTCCAGGACAGGCTCTAAAACTACAGGAAAAAAAAAAAAAAAGATTATCTTCAAACTAAACCCCTCCACCAAAACCCTAAAACAGACAACACATGGGGCCTCAGCTCAACATTTACCTGGCCTGGCCTTTCCTCCCCAGGTCCCTGGTTCAGGACTCCAGTGAAGTCCTTCCTCTTCCTCACTCCACATCCCACGAACCACCCTGTCCTGTCCAAGGTGCTTTCTCGGTGGCCATGTGCCCCTCCTCTCCAAGCCACCTTTCTCCCACCTGACTTCCTGTAGCAGCATCCTCATTAGGAATCCTGTCTCCACCCAGAATTTTCCATAGCCCTGAACCATCTTCTAGTGAAGAAACCTGTAGGATGACCCACAGCCTCCACCCAAACGTTAAGGCACGGGTGTCTCTCCCAGATACCTCACAGAACATCTGTGACTCTGGGAGCTGCTGTGGCTTTCTCTGAACACGCCACAAGTGATAATATATCTCAACCTTTACTCAGACTGTTTAAATTTTTTAATTAACTAGTTAATTTTGCAGTGCTGGGAACCAAGTCCAGGCCTCAAGCGTGCCAGACAAGGGCTCTCCCGCTGCGTTATTTCCAGGACTGCTCATATTGTTTCAGTTTTCTCCTTCCTCTGCAGCATCCTTTCTTTTTGAACTGGCGAACTCCTACTGACCTATCTAAGCCCACTTCAGAGAGCCCGTTCAGAGTCCCCCTGTGAATCGTCTCACCCTGGACCTGCAGCCCTCGGACTCCTCCAATCTTCTAACCTCAGCTTGGAGCGGCAGTTGCTCTATGTGGCTAAGGCTCCCACCTCAGCAGCTGCAAAGAGATGAGCTTCCTCTTCTGGACAGCTGTTCATCCCACAGGAAGCCAGACTGCCAAGCCAAAAGTGCCTAGCCCTGTGCCTGGCACACCGTCAGCAATCGATAGCAGGTTACTGAATCCCTTTTGCATTCCCACAAAGCCACTGCCATTGCGGTCTTGCAGAGCCAGCCACATGGTTCTCTCGGCCTCTCACGGCAGCACAGCAGCCCTGGGGCCCACCCATCCTTGACTACCAGCCCCTCTCTCCAGGGAACTAAAGTTGAGACCCCCTCCCCCAAGAGACCTCCTTGCTGTAGAAGTTAAGGTCTGGGGACTATCTCCCCGACAGAGGACCTCAGACTGACTCCCCCCAGTACAGGTGGCCGGGAGGGAGTGCAGAAAAAGCAGGAAACAACAGGGACACTATCTTGCTACATGTCCAAACAGTTCACAAGGAAGCGTTTTCAGCCAGTCTATCCTTGCTGCAGCCCACCCCACCTCTTGGGAAGCTGCTTCTCCAGCACCCAGAACTATGGAAAAGAACCCCTTCCATAGCCCTAAACATTTGAGACTGGATTGGGGGGGGGGTTTCAGCAGCTGGAGGAGGAAGAGAAGGAAGAATTCTATTAAGACTGTCCTCACTGAAGGAAGGGAAGAAGAACACTGTAACTCAAGGAAAACAAAACCACAAAGAAACTGAACTGGAACGGAAGGGAAGTATGTGCACAAGAAGGCCCGAGGAGGAGAGTGCAGGTGCACAGGTGTGCTCTGAGTGTGCAAGCACAGCAAGTTTCTGCACCGGGGCTCCTTGCAGGGGGGAGAGGGGGAGTGAGCTGAGAATGAGAATGAAGGTGGGAAGGTGGGGCCTATGGGGTGTGTGGCCTGAGCCCTGGCTGAGAATGAAGGGTTGTTCTTGAGGAGTCGTTGAAGCCCTAGGCAGATTCATACAATCGGTAAAAACAGGGATTTTCACACTCCCTGAAGCAAGAGTTAATAAGAAGCCACACAGACTCGCTCAGATTTCCTGTCAGACCTCTCCTCTGGATCCTATCAGATTCCTGGGGCCTCCCAAAGGATCCCACACGGGGCATTGCATCCAGGAACTGCCATCCCACCACAGAACACTGCCCTGGATTCTCAGGCCAGAGCCAGCACCAGGTCACTCAGGATGCCACTCTTGTCCCTTCAGAAGCGTAAGTGGAGACTTCCTCAACAACCCTTGGTCACCCAGCATCCACAACCCCTGCCTGGCTGCTCTTAGGGTGGTCCTCCCTCCCATTCCACAGCTTGGGACAGGTAGGGCTCCCACCCCGCCGGCTCCAACTCAGGGGCCCTGCAGAGGGAGGGGGTGAAATGGGGAGAAGGGCTAGCCCCTCCCCCTCACGGGGTAGAAGAACCAGAGGGGCCGCATTCCAGAGAAGTGGGGGAGGGGGCCTGACAGAGGGGATACAGAGACACCAAGCAGAGAGACACCCAAGGAAGGAGCTAAGAGACATGGAGGCACAGAGACCCAGTGAGAAGGAACACGGAGACCCGGAGAGTGAACACGGAGACCTGGGGCGAGAGGACAGGGAGACCCGGGCAGAAGAAGTCAATACTCGGGGAGAGGACACGGAGACTGGGAGGGAAGAGTGACCCACAGCTGGACACGCTGGGACCGCAGGGAATGAGATCTGGAGGCAGTGGGCGACACAGGCAGACAGAGACACCTAGGGAAACTGAGAAAGGCGCCGAGACGAAGACGCGGGCGCAGAGACTGGGGACCGGGCACGCCCGGACGGGACGGGACCGGGCGGGACGTCGGGAGGCGACTGAGTGAACTTTCGGAGCCGGTCCGAGCGCACCCGTCCTCCCGGGACGAGTGGCTCCAGGGCCTCGGGGGCACTGCTCGGGGTGGGGGTTGGGATCGCCCGCCCGGTCCCTCCCCAGCCCGCGCGCTACACACCGAAACCAGGGAAAGAGGGGGGGCTCCCAACTCGCT